TTTATGTTATCTATAAAACCCTACCCCAGTGCCTGGCAAATAAAAAGCATTCAAATCTCATCTTCTATCATCTGTCATTACAGATTCCAAGTCTCTGCTTCATTCAATGAGAAAAACAAATAGAAAAGCACCACACTCAATCACCTCTTTATATTGCATTGAAATTCGGTCTCTTACTCCATGCCTAGTGCAAGTCCTTAGGAACCATTTGAACACATCTGTAAGAATTACTTGCAATTAACATGCAAATTGTTATAATACATTATTTTAACCATAAAATATTCTTCTCCAGTGTTTAACATTCTGCCTGGAAGATTGTTCTAATAATGCTTTGCCTTCAGTGTTTCAAACCCGAAAGCCCTGTCTTGAATTACCATTTATCAAAATTATTGGAATCTAAATTGATGTCTTTTGATGCATTTGAGAAACTTCAACTCATCTATTTTCTGGGTGGAATTTTAAACTGACTATCTCAGTTGTTTGGAGTTTGGAGTTCACATTACAGGAAGACAGATAATTCTTAGAGAACAGATTAGATACATGAGAGAACTTATCTGATATTTAAAGAACAATAGATCTTTGAATTTTAAAGAACAGGGTGTTTTCAGAGTAACTAATGAACAGGGAATCACTTTTTTTTTCTGTTTTTCCATTTTAAGTCCATAAGTGAATCAGATGTTCCTGACCATTTCTTATATTTTTTCATGCTTGAGTATGGTATGTGTGTGTGTGTGTGTGTGTGTGTGTGTGTGTGTGTGTGTGTGTGTGAGTGAGTGTGTGTGTGTGTGTGTGTGCACACACTCTTGGAAGGTAGAGAAAGCTTCAAGTGTCCACCTCACTCCTTTGAGGCAGGGTCTCTCCTTGAACCTGGAGCTCATGCCAGCTAAGCTGTCAGCAAGGCATAGCAGTTATTCTTTCTCTTGTCCCTGCAGTGGTGTTGGGATACAGATGTAGGTGCTGGGATCTGAATTCTGGACCTTAGACGTACATAGCAAGTGTTTATACCGGCTGAAGCATCTGTCTATTCCCATTGTTCATTTCTTAATGTTTCTTCTTATAAGGGATTCTTCACTGGTAATAATAAATGCTGCACAATTGTTTTGTGCTGGGAATAATACCAGAGCCTCGTGATTGTTAGATAAGTGCTCTATCACTGAGCTAAACCTATGGCCCCAGCCCAATGGTTTGAAACATTTAAAATTATAAAACATAATAAATTAAAATTTCCCTCCTAACTCCAAAGATTTTTGGTTTCATTTAATGCCTTGCACAGTTAAGGAAATAACTACTTTTCTCATGTATAATAGCTCTCATGAAAATATAGCATGCTCTCCATAGAGTATATATTTAAATACAAGTTGTCATAAAGAAGTAGCAGGAGTTTTTAAGACAGCATCCAATTGCAAAGCTCAGCTGTAGTGTGTATTTTCCACAAATACTCAATGTGGCAGAAACACTAATTAATCTAATGTCTCGGAGTTGAAATTGAGTTTATCACAACAACAAGGAAGGGGTGTGTTTTTCAACCTGCAGAACCCACAGAACCAGCTTTCTCTTAGCTGAGCTCTGGTTCTCAATCTTTCTAATGCTGTGACCTCTTAATACAATTCCTCATGTTTCGGTGACTTCCAACCATAAAATCATTTTGTTGCTACTTCAAGAACTGTAATTTTGCCATGATTATGAATCATAATGTAAATATTTGATATGCAGGATATCTGATATGTGACCCCCCAAAAAACCCAGACCATTGAGAACCATTGCTCTATTGTCTTCTGTCCCTTCCAGCTGTTGAAACTGATTGCCTTCTGGAAATGAAAACCCTACCTGGCTCAGACCGGGGCAGTAAGTCTGGCAGAACAGGTGGTCCTGGGTGAATTGCTATGCCTCTGCATAAGCCCTGGAAATTCATCAATATGCTTTGCCTTAAGTAGTGTGAATTGGAGTGACAAATTAACAGCAGAGTGTTCATGCTTGTTTCAAAGCTGTAAGCTAAGGCTTCTTTCATTGCATTACAGTCATCAACCTGAAATTATGCTGTAAATCAGGTATCAGACACACGAACGTACATACCCTCATTTGTAGTCTTTATTCAAGCACTGAAACCTGAGAAAATGGGATTTTAGTCCTAAACCCCATCTGGCATTTTCATTAGACTTTCAGGAGTTATACCATAATGAGTCTTAGTTTACAATTTATTAGTACACATATAAATGAAGTTTTGGGCTTGATGGGGAGGTGCATGTCAGCAAGGCTAGCATTTGGGAGGCTGAGGCAGATAGATTGCCATGAGTTCAAGGCCAGGCTGAAATACAGTGTGAAACCCTGCCTCAGAACACTGAGCAAATACATAAAAAAACATTAAATTTTTCAGTTTGTATTTTGACATCATGCAGTAATTTCACTTGCTGTTTGTTTCAAGGGAAGGAATGAGAACTGAGTGAGATGAAGGGAACTGACATTTGCATCATAGCCACGAGAGTCTTAGTTTTAGCCTGTCTAATCTGAATATATCTTCTCAGAGTGAAACCCTTTTATAATCAAGGGGATTTCTCAAATTACAGAGTTTATTGAAGTCCTCAGAGGCTAGTCAGAAAACCAGAGGACCAAGTTGTGGGACTGTTTCCTGCAATGACCTGGAGCAGGGCTATATAGCAGTTCAAAATGCTGTGGGGCAGGGCCAGAGTTTAGAGAACTTTCTGTTAATTTTCTAGAAGGAATTTGCATTGACTGTGCTGAAAGGGTAGGGTAGATCAGAGCTTGGATGGGAAGGGTTGAGAGGGTCATCTACAAGGACGAGCAACAGTGCAGCACAGACTGGTTTAGTTCAGCTAATAGTCTGCCAAGTTTACATAGGAACAGGATTTGGTCCTGAGGAGATTTAAAGTTTTAACTAGGTCCTCCCCAAAATGATGTGACAGACTTTGATGATCCCACATGGAAGACCTCACCCTCCCTAGGTAGTGGATTGGGGGGTGGGATGGGGGATCAGTGGGGAAGATAGGAGGGAGAGGGAACTGGGATTAATATGTAAAATAAGATTGTTTCTAAATTAAATTTTAAAAAAGATGTCAAAATATAGTTATTCCAATGTAAAATGGTCTTATTCTTTGGGTATAAAGCTGCCTCGACTCCTTGCATTCCAGGTCTCCTTTTCCTATCCCCTAGCCTTTTGTCACAAAGTGTCAATAAAAGAAACACCTCCAACCTTGAAGGAACAAAAGAAATGGTTTATTCTGGGGCCAAATATGAGTGACTATGGCCCAAGAATACAGATTTGGGTTTTCCACATACCATGTTCTCATGAGTTGGCAATTTTGTTATTTTTGTTGCTGGGTACATCAGGTAGATGGATGATAACAAAACAGGAGAAATTGCTGTAGGCTTCAGATACTATCTGACAGCATTTTTAGTCCTTCAGTTGGTAGAAACTAGGTTCAGTTCTGCCATCCCACAGGATTTAACTAACAGTCACAAAGATGTTGGATCACGTACAGAGGATGGGAGTTATGCTAAAGATGCCCTAAGATAATTTGGCTCTGAACTTGTAACATTTTAACCTTTCACATCACTCAGTTGTTCAGGCTTTGTAGTCACAGCTGCTTTCCAGGAATTTTCATTCATGCAGATTAGAACATATCAGAACTCTTCTCTTACCACTGTCTTATGAAGCAGTCACAGTCAGTGCCTCCATAATATAACAATAAGTACTGCTGAGCCAACAAATTATGAACTGCACTGACACCATATACAGTTCTTATGTTTAATATGTTTTCATTCTAGTGATAAACACATGCTATCAAGAACAGATGTTATTTAATTACAGTTATAATAAGAGCACAAAGGGGCTGACTGTCTCTTAGAAGCAAGAGTCTATCTAGTATGCCCTAGGTTAAACTGACCAAGACTTTGCCCTAAAGAGAACCAAAAAGAATCATGATAGAATTTGACTTACTAGCTAGTGGTGGGAGTGAGGACAGCAGTTATTGGATGAATACTTTCAGGTCCCAGTGAATCATCAATTAAAATATCTTAAAGGTTGGGTAGGAAATAGAACAGAGAAAATGGTGTACATAGGAGAGCCTGGGAAAAGGAGTGGAACTGGGTGCAATCTGGTCAGATGAGACTGAAGAGAGGGAGAGAGCGGTTGTCTCCCTATCATGGCTGAGGCCCCCAAAGCCACATAAGTAAATAGAAGTGTGGGTTGACTTGAAGTGTTGGAATACTAAGCTCCTATTTGCAACATACTCTGGCTAGTTTTATGTCAACTTGAATAGTAGTTCTACCAAAGCTTAACTAACCTTGGAGGAAGTGTATACCCAGTCCCGAAGTGCTTGATATGGAAAAGTGGAAGTTCTTAGCAATACAGAACACCTAACACTGTCAACAACACTTCTGTATAACTGAGACTCCCCATGTACACTGGAGGTAAGAGGCAGCAAGACTCAGTCAGCACCTGTTCTTAATTCATTTTATTCTTTCAGAAATTTACATATGCATATAATATATTTTGATTAAATCTGTATTTCAATTCCTCCTCTCAAATTCCTCCCTCTGGTGGTTGAGGATGGCCCCCATAGACCCATATAATTGAATTCTTCGTCCTGGTTCTATCAGAAAGCACATTGTGCAAGCCATGATGAGCAAGCCAGTAAGCAGGACCCCTTCATGGCCTCTGCATTAGTTCCTTTCTCCAGGTTCCTGCCACGTTTGATTTCCTACCCTGCCTTCCTTCAATGATGGACTACATGTGGCAGTATAAATAAATAAAGCCTTTCCTCCCCAACTTGCTTTGTGTCATGGTGTTCGTCACAGCCATAGAAACTCTGATTAGGACACAAACCTCCTTGCTAGACATCAAACACACTTCTATGATCCCTTAAATTATGCAATCATTATCTGTAGATTCAGGAAATGTGTTTGCATTTTTCATACAGACATATTTGTTATAGCAAGCTGCCATGCAGGTGTTCAGCATCACTCTCTGCTTTGTTTTGCAGCGTTCCAACATTCCAGAGCCTTCCTGATGAAATCCTCAGCAAGCTGGCCGATGTCCTCGAGGAGGTAATTGTTTTGGTCCTTTGAACATCTTGAGATGGAACCCAGATCGGGAACCAGGCTGAGTTGCTTTCTTTCACAGCTCTGGTTTGACAAATGCATTTGACAAATGTTGAGAGACGTTGCCAGTTTGTCCCAAGCTCTGGGATGAGCTATAGATTTGACTACAAATTAAAAGCAGCTTAATACACCCAACATTAATACACAGCTAGACACAGCCATGTCAGTTATGGGGAGAAAAACATTTCATTGTGGTAAATATAATGTGATTGTGATGTCTATGAATGACTCGCTGGCACTTTTCTTCTTTACTTCAATTAATTGTAGTTGTTGCCATCCTAGGATAAAAAAGTTTACAAGAAGAATGAGCAGTTGGATCCATATATTCTAAGCATGTGTGTATTTTGCATATATTATTTCATGCATGAATGTGGATTGCCATGGACTTTTTTTGAGCCCATGGTGTTGAGGAAGATGAGAGACAGTGGATGTGTGGCTCCTCATGACCCACAGACACCCTGCTTAGAGAGGAAAGGAACTTCTTCCACTCACACAGAAGCTTGGCACTGGATTGACAGCATCCTGTTCCCTCGCTAACTGCAGGAGATCCAACTCCATGTTCTTGCACAGCTGAGTTCCCAGGTGTTGTAGGGTCTTTATTGACTATGGAGAAAACAATTTCAGGAGGAACCATGTACAAAAGCAAATACCTATAATCCCAGTGTTCAGGAGGCAGAAGCAGGAAGGGCAGTAGTTCAAAGTCATCCTTGGCTACATAGTGCTTTCCAGGCTAGACTGGGGTAAATAAGACCCTGTCTCTGAAAACCATAATAATAAAAGAAAGAGAAAGAGAGGAGTGGAGATATTGGGGTCATCTTTCCTTCTTGGCCTGTCAGCCATCAGTCCAAGAGGGGAAAATACAGAATGGGGGACAGAAAGCGTTATACATGGCCCATAAGCACAGAGGGAAGGAAGTCTCAGGAAGACAGACTTCAGTGAATCAGCTCAATGTTATTTCAGAGTATAAGGAATATATAGGATTGGGGAGCCTGGGAACAAACCCAAATTTGCATTAAGTGGCACCCTCCTATCACAAGGCTTAGCATGTTCAGTAGAGTCCTATAGCAGAGATCCTAGCACAGCTCTTCTTAGCAGAGATCTGTGCCCAGGGTCAAGCTAAAGATGAATCAGGCATCTGATTTAGAGACAGCTTTTAGATAAGGTCAGTCTTCCAGGCCCTGGCACATTCTTCAGATAAGGATAGGTAGGAAGCAGAAAGTCTTGCTGAGGATGGAGGAATTTTCCATATAGTCAAGCTTAGAGAAAGCTGCCAAGCTATGGCAGACTTCAGCCTCTAACCAGCCAGCAATGTATTCCAACAGAGAGCAAAGGAGAGAAAAGAGAGGACAATAGCATATACCCAGAGAAAGGCAAGGAGGCATATTTGGCCTTTGGGAGATTTGGATTGCATTTTTCAAAGGCTATAATCTATATATAAATATGAAAGATTATGTAACATGTTTTGATATGCTTATTTTTATCTAGATGATTTCTCTCATAAAAAAGATTATATGGTGGCTTATGAGTGCATTATACAAGTTTAAGAACAGTTGATTAAATAAAAACATTAAGTCAGAAGAGGTCAAAGAAATTCTTACTATAAACATGGGGAAAAAAGAGGTGAAGACATAAGTTTAGACAATAAATATGCTCCTTATCCATGTCTGTGACATTTTCTCAGAAAAATACAGATTGATAGATGAAAAAAAAAAGCAAGGTTAAACTCAAAGGCCACATTGTTTTGGACATGGTTTATCAGCAGCTTTAATACTCTGAAGCACTTTGGGGGGGAAAAAGAATAATCTATGTGCAGGCAACCCTCACTGTACTTTCTGTTAGTTGTATTAAAACAATTGACTTCCAGCTAGCAAAAGGCTTCAGTCATATCCTGGGACATAATGAGCTCTTTCCCTTTCTCACATCTCTTTAATTTTTCTGCCTTCCTTTCTATCTCAGTTTTAGAGGCTGAGATGTTCTCTGCAGGTAGTAGACATACATGTTTTGTTTCAAGTTGTAAAGATAAGAAATCTGTTCCATTTTGTTGATGAAACATAGATACATTGGTAGGAATCCTGGAACAGTACTGGCAGAAGCAAATCTGACCACTAAATGAGAATATCTTAGTTTATGTAGGAAATATGGGGGAAGTTGGTTTAAATCACTTCCAGGAAACAAGAATACATTCAAAATGCCTGGATGGATCTCAGGAAAATTATGAGTTTGAAGACAGTTTAGGAATAGTAAATTCATGGCTATCTAAGGCTACATTGTCAGGGGAGGAGGATATAAGCAATGAGTTCAGTAATTTGGAAGGTGATTCAAGCAGCCCAAGGGAAACCTGAGAAACAGACAACATAGTTAAGGGAAACATTGTATCACAGGTTGTTTGCTTATGTTTTCTGTTATTCAGTTAATCTTCATTGATTATCCCTCATAAGCCTTGAGATATAACACTTTTTAAAAAGGCATGGTCAGTTCCTCATAGAGTTTATTTTCTAGAAAGAGAGATCCCTAATAATCAATCAGTTATTCAGGCTTTTAGACTGAGATGGAAGCCATTGGATTGCTTTAAGAAAATCAATAGAGTTATTTGACTTACAGTTTTAACATGGTTCCCATAGCTACAAGGTTGAGCAAAGATGGGGGAATATTGGGGATGATTTTTAAAAGAAATGATGTTGGCTTTGTTGATTGTCATAGAAGAGATTGATAAGAAACGGCCGATACTGACTGAGAGAAAACCAGAAAGTTTACTGTTATTCTACATTATGGAAGAAGACAAACTGAGGATAGCTAGGTGAGTCAGTGATAATGGAAATGGAGAAGACTAGAGGAGGGGTACATTGGAATGAAGAGACAAGGAGCTGAGGAAGGAAGCATGTGGGGAAATAGAACTCTTGGGGCCGTTGGCAGATAGATGACTTGGAGCAGTGTTTGGCAAGGAGCTGGGTGTTATTCTGAGGGACCAAATGTGGGTGAAGACTAGGCAGAGTGTGGAAGCTGGTAGTAGCCCAGCATTACTATAATAGCATGTGTGGCTGTGTGGAGCATAATACTGAGGAAAAACCTCAAACAAATAAGCAAAAATAAAGAGGACAAAATGTCATTTATATAAAGTATAAGGATATCAAATATTTGCCTTAGTAATTATAAACAAAATGTCACAAATCAGATACATATGAGTTGTTTCCTGTAACATGAGGGAGGAGAAGAGATCTATGAAGAAAAAAGGAAAATGAATGAGTGCATGCATGAATGAATGACTCAGAGGACACAGAGTAAATCTCTTGATTTTTAAGAGTTCACCTCTAAGAAACAAAGCAAATTGTTTTGTCAGAAGCATTTTGTGCCTTAAAATTAGGAAGGTTCAAGGAAGAGTTCACAGAACTTGCATTTGAATTTTGTTTAAATGACAAAGATAGAAATAGAGAAGGGAAAACGGAGCTGGCTGGAGTCCAGGAAATACTGTGTTGTGGGAAATGGAATGCTGCACAGGAGGGTAGGCTTTCCATACATATGTAGGTGACTGAGTTGATGCAGTGTCTGGAGCTATGGAAATCCTGATGGGATATTTTGTTTCCTTGGTGATACAGAAAACAAGGTCATAAACAGAATGGGAGTTGGGTAGACAGATGAGGATGGTGGGAGAAAATGGAAGTTTAGAAATATGGTGAGATTACCAGGTCCCAACTTGATGCTTGGAATTTCTCATCTAAATTAAATAGCATAGAGAAAGATAAATTAATTAACTTAGAGACAAGGTCTTGCTTTATATCCCAGGCTGACCTTGAACTCATTATCTTTCTGCCTCAATCTCCAAAGTCCTGGGATTACAGGTGTGCACTATTAGGCATGCTACAAGTTGCTTTCTCCACTTTTAGTCTATCAATTTATCAATTTATCAGTCAACTAATCTATCTATCTATCTATCTATCTATCTATCTATCTATCCTTTTTTCTTTTGAATGGATTCAGGTTCCACATAAGTACATAACTGGACTTAACCAAGACTGTTATGTTTTCAAGAGAAGATGACTGATTGAAGGGGCAGGAAAATGAGGACATATGCAAGAATGATTGGAATGTTTGATTCTGGAATTTGACTGAGCCAGGCCAGTGAGAAATCACAGGATAAGTGGGCTTAAGTCTCATGAGTTGAGGAATTTTTGGAGTTGGGTTATAAGAGTGGCTGAACTGTATAGGAGTTAAAAATATTTTTGTCTCTAGGTAAAGGCTGTATTGGAGAATCTGTGGTCCATTCATAAATTCTTAGTTTGAGGGTGATTGAAGTAAGCTGTCCTATGATTTATTGATCTCTTTCATGTGTGACCACAAAGTGAACCAGAGCATGGCTGCTCTTGACTGCTGTGTTCAAATATAAAAGATATTCATCACAAGAAGACTTGATGTATTTCTCTCTGGATGTGCTGACCTGCAACCTCTGTAAATGTAAAACTGCTTTTCCCAGTGGGCCTTTCAGCTTTTGCTTGTCTTTGTGGAATACAGTGAAGAGCTCTCTGAAGATATGTGCATATGTACATGTGTGGGTATACATTGTAGGGTGTGTCTGTGTTTCAGAGAAATCAAACTGAAACACAAATTCATGAGCCCCAAATCAACCTCTTTATAAAGTAAAACAAAGCTAAGAGTCTGTGAAATCTTTTAATCATTCTCTTTCTTCTCCACAGCTGTGAAATATTTGCTGTCTTATGTAACTATAGCCATGATGCTCTAAGGCAGACCACAAAATATTTCAGTGTTTTGTGCTGTATTTTCATTTTCATTCTTCTATTGTGTGTATGTGTGTACATTGCATGTACCAGTTCTTGTAGGTGTATGCATACCTGTCCATGTGCCTACGTGTACTATGGCAGCTAGAAATAAACATGGAATGCCTTCTTTACTCTTCACTTTAGTTTTTTTTTTTTTTTTTTTTTTTTTTTTTT